CCTTAGGGCACAAGTTAAGAAAGTAATTAATGCATCTTTTTGTCATTAAGTTACATAGAAAGAATAAAGTTTGACTTTAATTTTAACAACTAACTAATTAAATTAAGACACATGACATTGATACTCAAATTAATATCAATTTTTTTTTATATATAAATTAATGACTAAAAAGTGTATTAATTACACCCTTAGGGCACGAGTTAGAAAAATTCAATAACTTATAGGGAGTAAACAAGAAGAAAGAAGAATCTAGGTATCGACAACTACTTATTCATTAATGTGGTAATCACAAAAACCATGCCATCTATCATGTCTGTTCCACAAGAATTTATACATACCGATTGATTAGTTGCCCACCGTTCATAGAAATGAGTATATCTTTCTAGGGAGTTTTTAGCCATCTCTCTTCGCTTTTCAGTTTCATCATACTGTAAGCAATAGTATGGAACAGGAACATATAATTAACCATCAAATGCCAAGGCAAGAAGACCATATAAATAGCAGTGGGAAATAGCAACTCTCAAAAAAAAAAAAAATAGCATCATACCACTCCCTCTTGTTTTGCTGTCTCATAACGGTTGCAAGCATTAAAACCACCAGTTCTCTTACCATGCTCTGACCATGCACCAAGGCAAAGCCTGCATGCATCTCTAGTAAGATAGAGAAAATGAACAAGAAAGATATCCACAGATAAAGAACATAGTAGAGTCAATACTTGAAAACTTGGTCATTCTTATTAGGTAGAAAATAGTCCAAACAATAAATCCCAGCATAAAGAGTTGAATTAGAGTTTAATACAGATATAAGACAACAATAAACTACATTCATTGGTCATATATTTAAAACAACTTATGACTAGAATTACTCTAGGAAGGAATCTCTATTTCAACAGCCACATAAACTTACCAACAAAATTCAAATTTACATGGTGGTGTGCACGTCATATGCATACAACCCTGGTTCTTCTCAATTGGGCGCTTGCACTTTGGACATCGCTTGGAATTAGCTAAAATCCTGAAAACCAAGACAGGCATATGATTTAGGAAGAGAAGCATTATTGAAACACAGTAAGCAATTATATCTTGTTGACCCACTCTTGGTCACACCATTTTCATCATAACCAAGTATTCAGCCTTTTTTAATTGATGTCACGTGAAACCATGTACAGGAAGGTGTAGAAAAAAAAAAAAAAAAAAAAAAAAAAAGGAGAAAAAGATAACTAGAATTGTCATACAATATATAAATATCAAATAAGTCAGTTTGTCCATGATTAATCCATGCACCAAGGCAAAGCCTGCATGTATCTCTAGTCAGAAAACAGAAAATTAAAAAGGAAGGAGGTATATGGAGTTTCTTTTTTCTTTTGTGCGTGGGGGGGTGGAGGGTGGTTTAGTAAACAAATTAGCCTTATTATTATCCAGTACTTAATATTGCTAAACAAAAACAATAAATCCTAGAACTCCAAGAACAGATCATCATATTTAGGGTACCACTTTTCAATATATATATAAATATATATATAGTGGTAGGTAATAAGGTCAGTGATTTATGTAGTAAGATACATTCTACACTTGCAGTTAAAATGATAGCACTAGGATTTCCCAAAGCAGAGTTATTTATATCCTAACAGCAGCATAGACTTACCAACAAAACTCAAATTTACAGGGTGGTGTGCATGTAATATGCATACAACCCTGGTTCTTCTCAATTGGACGCTTACACTTCGGACATGGTTTGGAATTAGCCAATATCCTAAAAACCAAGGTAGGCATATAATTTAGAAACATATTAAAAGTTCAAACATGATAAGAAAGAAAATACCATTTTGGCAAACTTGTCATGGTGAGACAATACCATCTGCATCATCCAATAATTGGGCCTTGTTTAAACAAGGTAACATGAGGCCCATGTGCACAAGATAAAGGTAGAAAAATGGGAGAGAAAAAAGAAGCTTAATTTGAACCAAGGAAATTTAATGATAATAGTATGAGATCGAAGAAATAGGTCAATCTCACAGACCTATTTGTGAACATGTTAAATAGCATTTTAATTAGGTTAACACCATAGACATCACACTTTTTTTTTTCCCTGAAGACTCACAGCAAGGATTCATAATAAAGATTATTTGTTGCAGCAAGGCTATTAGAAAACTTTTAAGGGTTATAGCAAAATGTGCAAATCCTCCCCTGAACTAAGCCAATTGGAGCATAACACCCCTCAACAAAAAGCAGCAGCAATTCCATCAAAATAGACAGATTCTGTCTGCTCCATTATTGTTTAATGTTTAATTAAGTTTATATTTACTTATGTAGACTGAATCCATCCATTTTGGGTGGATTTGGTGGAATACATTCAACAGCAGATTTGCACCTTTGGCCTTAAAGAAAAGAAGCTTTGCAAGGAATTCAATGTAATTTTCAAGCAGACACCAAACTTGCTGCTTGACTTTACATTAGCGTGTATGCATGCATGCAAGCTGTGCGAACGGTGCTGATGATGCACAACAAATTGCTAACAAAGATATTTGATGTAATCTAAAGACTGCTTTCCATGCATCAGTTTAGCAACTTCAGGCAATATAGTAAATAAAACTGCATCTTCTTCCTCACCAATTCTTATTTTCAGATTCTGCACTGTTTATCAATATCCACTTGGCCACAGTGCCACAGTCAACAGGTCGATGAGCTTCCTCAGTGCACTGCAAAGTCAAATGAAAATTAAATCTTACAACCACGTTTTCCCTTTCTTTTTTAAACAAACAAAGAATGCAGCACAAAGGCTCCTAAATCATTAGTTAAAATTCCTAGAGCAAGAAAGAAAGGATGGAAAATTCAAGGGAACTCACATTCCAGCAAAAGCTGTATGAGCAGCGACAAGTAACATCATAGCTTTCACTACCCACAATAAAATCCACAGCATAATCACAGCCTGGTGCAGGACACCATTTTGTCTACAGAAGAAGGGGATAGAAAAATTATAAAAATATACTGAAAACATGGTCCAACTGAAACTAGACAAACAAAGACTTCGTAGCATCATTAAAAAAAATGACTGGTAAAAGGAAAAGTACATGGCAAACAAAAAGAAAAAGAGAATTAGGAAAAAAATAATGATACAAGGCCACAAATAAATTTATTTTTGGTCAACTAACACTTCATGCTTAAAAAAAGTAAACTGTTTTTGATTCATTCCTTAAAGATCCAGCCATATTGTGACAACAATTGGGTAAGAGCATGAAAAACTGAGGTAACGAAGGGGGTTTTTTTTTTTTTGGGGGGGGGGGGGTGTTGGGGTCGGGGCGTGAGGAGTCACCCAAGTTTCTAATTGTCTAATTACCTTACCTTCCTATTATCCTCAATATAAGATCTAATGAAGTAACGGGAGTACTTCTCCCTGTCCTCATCAGAAGCCAAGACATTAATCATATCTTGACCAACAGCAGCACAACAGGATGGGTCAGGACATCGCAACATCAAACATCCAGGACCACCATTAATAGATGTGCTAATATAACCTATGAGGAAACATATAAGATATAAATAACAAATGTATAGGATGAATAGGGAAAATAAAAGCATCAACTGAAACAAGAAGATAGAAAGAATGCAAAAGACATAGATCTACTTGTTTCTATGCAAAATCACAAGGATAGGAAAAAATTTAGATAAGGTTGTTTCTTTGTTGCATAAAAAGAAAGGCCAGATTTTGTTATCAGAAACAGGCTAATAATCAGAACATTTACAACATTAGCGCAACAATGGAATATCATGCAAAAAGGAATTTTCCATTTACAACTCTGTTCTAACAGTAGGCGTCAATGGAATTTTCAATCAATCCCTGCTAAAAGTTCAGCTTTCCTGAAGCCTAGGCAACAAATGGTGGTTGTAACCACTCAACTAAGTACACATGAGATTAAGAATCTAAGGATGAAAAAACACTAGAACCAAACAAAGATCTGATATCTATGTTCAGAAGATGACGATGCATGTTCTTGATTTTAACAAACCT